TTTAAAACAATTATTATCGTCGTAAAAATTATGTTATAAATCCTCAATACAATCCTCAATCCTAACCACATGTCTAATTAACTCTGCAATGTTTATAATAAACGTGATAATTACCTAAACATTAAACTGTTTATTTTATTTTATTTATTGGTAATGTTTGTCAGAAATTGAAAAATTATTAATTGTTAAATTATTATTTTAATAGTGTTTACGTTTATTCACTTAATTCTTTTAATAATAATTATTATTACTGAACTTGTAACGCAGCAAATAATATAAAGTAAAATGTAACATTATATAAGTTCACGTTATAGTAGTAGTTTGTATTAATTATTAACCGAGCAATTTTACCCGAGTAGTTTTATCCGAGTAGTTTTATTCAGGCAGAAATAAGGGAATCTCTCTTTGTGGAAAAATTAGTTGCAAGTGTACTGATGTACTGTATATTACAATTGATTTCAAAATTATATATCTAATTAATTATGCTATAAAAATAATCAATATTTCCCGAATCTCGTTATTATAAATAGATTAGTAATTAATGTATAAATTATAATAATAATATTACTTGTTTTTTTTGCAACAACATTATAATAATGTAAATGTTATATGGATTTATATCGACAATTGTTAATATAAATTATATATAACAGCATTTATGTCGATATTGTATGAGAATTGCAATAAACAAGGTCATTAATTTTAAGTGATTTAATACACGTCTTATGCTTTATAAAAAAAAGCATTTATATTTAATTAAAAAACTACTTTATTCTGCAAAATTTTTTATTGCTGTGTTTACCAAGCTTCTACATTATTGTATAATTTGTTGATTAATTTAAAAGTTTATTATATACTTATTTTGATAGTAAATTTATACACATGATAAGATATATTTAAATAAAAAGACACAACATTCCGTATGCTTTCTAATCCATGCTATATATTCACGGAAGGGGAAAGCGTACGATTCCGGGCCGATGGCAACACTACTAGGAGTGTATATTTTCAGCCCATATCACTCGAGCCCTACATATTCTCAAATAAGTTTGTACAGAAATATATTAATCCATACAAAATGTTTATCCATTAATAAATGTATTTATAATTAATATAAATAACAATTTAATTATCTTGTAGGATGAGTAATAAGTACGAGATTTGCGGTCCATTAATAAAATTAATGGTTGAGTTTGCAATACGACAAAAATCATCGTAAGTTATTTAACAATTGACAACATATTTAGTTGTATAACCAAGCACAAATTAAATGCACTGTGCATTAAAAACTAATTTACTAAATTAATTACTACTCATATGTCAATTAATAGACTAGTTTTGAAACGACCGCCGGTTTCGCGGCAAGATTTTAGGCAACAATTGTCCGCCGGTTTGCCGGACATTATACTCACGCCATGGATCGCATCCGAAATTATCCCATACTTGGATGGTATGCGTAAATATCATTTAAACTACCAGGCCACCACCGTGGTCGACTACCTTGATGAAAATGTGATAGTGGCCCGGACACGGCTCGGCACCCCATTTACCATGTTTTCGTACTTCACATGCTTCGCACCCAATGTATGGCTCGCTGTATTCGTATCGCTAGTTGTGTTGGCCGTTGTGTTAAGCGTCGGGTGCGGCAACACTACCCCCAAAGGCCGACACAGAGATACCTGTCCTAAACGGCTATATGAAAGCGCATGGAATCTCTCCAATATATTATACCAAAAATCATTGCAAAACTTTTTACAAAAATTACGGCACCGGTTGTCGCCGGCGCTGGTGATTGGTGTGTGGTTAGTGTCAGCTCTGGTGCTGTCCATAGAGTTTACCAGCTTTTTGCTCGACTATATGCACAGATCGGTACCGACACTAGCGGTGGACTCACTCCGGGAGCTGACAGAGTGGGACGATATGCGGTTATATGTGTCTAACGTTAGTTCACTATACAGTTATGTAATGAAAGAGTCGGCCACTGACCCACTGGCCCGGGCTATTAACGACCGTATGATTTTGTACTCAACGACTGGTTGGCTATCAATTAAGTTTGCGCTGCAAATGTTGCGGCGCCTAATGTCCGGGTCGTACGCCATGACCACAAATAGGCTGACGGCTATATTTATATTATTTCATTTGGTAGAGATTGATAATAGGGTCGGGGGTCCGGCGCTTCAGGATGTGCTACACGTGTCCCGATATGGCAGTGAATTTGCCCCGTTTTTCATGGCGTTTAACGCCGACTGCCAGCAGTTTATCACAAATGGTTTCAATCAAATGTATGTAATATTATTAATTTTGTGTACAAAAATGTAACAAAAAGCATTGTTTATACAACAAAATTGGTAAAATATTAACTAAATTAAATATCCTAAAATAGACACTCTCTCAGACTATAAATGCCCGTAACCCAAGCCCTTTACAACGTGAAAATCGGACGAAAGACACCAATCATCAGACAAAGTGTGGATGAGTTGCAAAAACAGCCATTATTTGCATTCAATTCACTCACTTTGGGATCAGTTTGTGATCTCTTTTATTTATGGGCTTTCGGTCTCTTCATTGCGTCAATTGTCTCAGCGTTTGAAATATTGTTTCCAACATTTCTCCTTTGGTTTAATGGTTTTTACGCCAAAAATTGATTAAAGTTTATTGAATTTAATTAAACATTCATTTATTTAAGAAAACATATTATTTAAAATACAATTGTCTTCTAATAGAAAGCGACGATTTGTTTAACAACTCTTTATTAAAACAATGTTTGCTTTTGTTGTAATGGTTGTGTCAATTGAGGGCTTTATTCAGATTCCAATCATTACCGGAAAGGAGATCTAGAGCGCTGTCGTGGTCTATGCTCTTCTCGGCCATCACTTTCTGGACCTTTTCCTTAAACTCTTTGAATTGGTTTTTGTCGACAGTTCTGCGCGTCTCGTCATTCATGGCGTAGACTATTCAGGTTATGGACCGGCATGCCCACATCTCGAGCGCCGACTTGTGCATGACTGCCAAGCGGCCGTGTAGGAAACCCGGCAACCCGAGGCCTGAGCCGTCGTGTCTGACATAGCTAGCGTCGTGACTCTCCAAAGTCATGGCCGACGACCACTGCGTGTGGAGTATATCGAGACCTATCGCTCCGGTCATTGACGAGATGTTCGGATGCCATACTCTGGTCACGAACTTGCAGGCGGGCGGCGCCAACGGGTATCTGTCGGGTATAGTGATATCAATGGTGAAGACACCCCTTTGAAAGGGCGTGTCGGGCGGGCCAACAATTTTGCCAAACAGATGTGAATTGGTTTTTCCATCGAGTTCTATGCAGTAATGATTTCTTTCCAGATTATTGTCTTTCATCATATTCTGAATCTCTATATTAAGTCTCCTATTGCTGGCCATCTTTGCGTTTGTACCGTTTGTCCGATAATTTTGGACCCGAAATATTGAATTTAAATTAATTGTAAATTTTTTCTATAAACCAATTGTTGAGCCGTGAAGTGAGAGATGTGTTGTCTATCAGATTAACCGGAAAATAATGCAATCTTTTTGAAATTATTTAATCATTCATTTATTTAAGAAAACATATTATAGATAATCAATGGATTGTAATTAATAACAATTAGTATACAAATAAAAAGTAATAATAAGTTATAAATTAATTGTAAAAATGTATTTCAATCGTTGTATCGATACATAAATCACAGGAAACTCTTCCAGGCGTTGACCACATACTTGTGCCGATCGTATCGCTGTCCGCCCCACACAACCCAACCCAACAGAGCCAGACTGGGATCAAGTTCCCTCTCCCGGAGTTCAATCAGTAGTCGCACCCGACTGTAGATCTCGTCAATAGCCGCCCGATCGTCGCCCACCGCCCGGCGCTCACACTTTCTCAACAACTCGCCCGTCCTATCGATGGCTTCAACATAACCGCGACCCCTACCGGACAGCTGCCGGTCTAACACCCAATGCCAGTCCACGTAAGCGCCGGCGCGGCTATACTCCCGTCGATAGCGAGCACTCATACCCCGGGTATTGCTTTTGACATATTTTTCAATCAATACAAACGACTCATCAAACACTTCGTACTCAACGGTCTTCCTGTGCCGCCACCGGCGCCGCCGCTGTCGTTGACTGTCCGCCACATTGTTCGCAAACTTATCATTCAAACCATCAATGGTTCCCACACTACTGGTGCTGAGTCTCAACGACTTGAGCCTTGTGTCTGGTCTGTAGTTACCGATCAACGACTTGATGGCCTTACGGACGGCCACAGGTGTTAAGGATAGTCGACGAGTGAAGGACACCCGCCGGCGGCCACTCAACGGTAAGCTTACAGTCAATGTTTTGCGGCCAACAATCGAGTGGTTCAACGCCCGCAACACTACTGGCCCTCTATTACACACACGTATTAATGCAGACATTTTTTATAACAAGATTTTACTGTATTTGTACCGCAAATACTGTATTTGGGTTTTTAGTATTAAGTATAAAGTTATTTAAATGTGATTTCAATTGTTTTAAATTTATATTTATTTTTACCGTTATCACAATTACTCGCCTATTATTTAACGTGAATTAAATCATTTATTTATCATTATTTGTAATGTTTTTGATCTCGTGTTAAAAATGTATTATTATTTTTGTATAAAAACTGAATCCAAATAATTAAATCTTACATTCATTTCAAAAACAAATTTTAGTTACCATTAAATCAATTGACAAAACAGTTAAATTCAAAATTCAACTTGTTTTACTATTTATTTTATTCATTAATTAATGGTTTAATTAAATTTGTATTTAATTATCTATTTGTTTAACGGATCTGTTGTTAATGTCTATGAATTTGAGTAATAAAACAGCAATCAGTGAAATGACCTGAAAGTTACAAATGTTTTTGTAATTGTAATTAATGTAACTTTTAATTAAGTTTTAAATTTGTGTTCAAAAACTTACTTCAAAACCTCTAAACATATTTATGATAAACAGTTTCCAACAGTAAAACCCGACCCGTTTTTGGCCAACCCTTTCAATGAGTGATAAAACCTAACAAAAAATAAGTCAAAAATTTGTGGTTAAATGTATTTAACACACAATAAATACCTTAAACCCCAACATAATGTTTTGTCGGCTATTGTGGACACAAATCACTGAATTGAGTGCCAGATATGTGGCGTTGGATTCAATGCAAAACACCGATGAAATCCTTATAATCACCAAAAGTATAGCCAATAGTATGACAAAAATGAGTGCAAAAACCGATGAAATCAATGGATTGGTGTCTTTGGTTACGATAAACATGAAGAGGAATAACGATATGATTGCCGAAAACGTTGTCCAAACAATGGCCAGAAATTTGGACCAATAGCTGTTGTTATAATCACTGATTTCCCGATAAATGGCATTAAAATCTTGTATACATTGAAACAAACTCTTGTCCCGAAGACGACCATTAAGTTTAAGACCTTTGAGTTTATCATTCAATGAACGCAACTTTATATACAGATAATCAGTGATTAAGTAGTAATAAATAAATTGCCAAACAATTATCAGATAGATATATTGAGAGGTGAGCGCAAACAGGGTCGCGTGCATCACAACAAATAAGACCATGGTCATTATCTGGTCGTTAAACTTTGCGAGAGCCGATCCAAACACTACCGCCGCAAACATGAAGGTAATCACTGGCATAGGAGTGGTCAGCACTTTGGCAATCACTAGACATCGTCGGTAGTTATGAAGTATTTTATGAACAACTGCTTGACTATTAATGCCAACCGATTCCGGACTACTGGAGCCCGAAATCATTGCGAAAACACGCAAATGTTGGCCACAATTATCATTACTTTGCCATCGATTGGCCAAATTGAGCGCTTGTGAGGCCAGGGCTGTGGCGCAGAGGAGACACACATTTAAGTTGTAGAGATGACGAGCGCCGGCCATAAAGTGACCGACATTTCCCATTTTGATGGCCAACTCATCGCTGGCGCAGTCATCGCCGCAATGTATGAAATATACAAATCGGATGAATAGCTGAGACACAAACACGAAGACCACAAATGGATTATAGATTGGACTCCGACTGACCGCCGATGTAGTGGTGATGATCGGCGACAGACCTATTCGGTACATATGGCAGTCGGCACCGGGAATGGCCACTTCGGGACTCAATCGGTGCTTTAAGTCCATTGTAATCATTGGTAGTTTAGGATCTTTTTTATGCTTAAAATATTGCATTTGTAATTCATGTAAAAATTTTAATAAATAATAATTTCTATTTGAAGTTAATAAAAAGTATTTTGTGCACTTAAAATTATAATTGTTTTCATTTTTAAACATGTTATTATGTTTATATAATTACTACTAATTTGGTCTTAACTATGCTATTACCACGTATAGTAAATTGCAATAAAGGTTAATTACTGAATTATTTATGTTTTATAATAACTAAATGCACGCAAATAGTGAACCAGAAGTGAACCAAATAATGCATTTTTAATTACTTTAATGATCCGTATAATTGTACTCTTGACTCATAATAATAATTATTAATTTAATAAATGTTAATTATTAATTAGTAAAAAGAATTTTGTAATACCTTTATATGTCTTTATAATACTGTTATAATGCAAAAAAGTGTTTTTATAAAACAATTAGAAAATTGTTTACGAAATACATGTTAAAATATTAATTAATCATTTATTTATTTGTAAAATTAATTATTAATTTAAATTATAAACTCAATAAAATTCATTACGAAATTACAAATTTTAAAATAATCATAATAATATTTTAGTAAAAAAATTTTAATTAATTAATCAGTATTATCCTGATACTATTAATAAAGTAATTTAAATTGCAATAACATTATTTTTCAAAAAATGATTTTAATTTCATTTTTCTCATTTTGATCATTAATATAACTTTTGCTTAAAAACTCGTTAAACAATTTAAATGCCATTAGTTTGAAACAAAAACCGTATTGAAAATCGTTTGATATCTTTTCACACATTAAATAAAACAATGGCTAATAATCCGCACCATTTGTTTGCCATCAAACTGATTGAGCAAATTTTAGAAACAACTAAATACAAGTAAGTTTTGTTTTGTCTTGTTTTAAATATTTTAAATTAAATCTCAATTAAAAATCTAACCAAATATACAGTCAATTTGATATAATACTGGACATCGGTTCAGGTTCTGGAAATGTAACTCAAATGCTGGCCGATTGGGTAAAACACCGGCAAATCATAGGCGTAGACATTGACCAGAAAATGATTGACATCTCGATACAAAACAATACTAAACCGTCGATTGCTTTCATTGCCGAAGACATGAGTAAACCGTGGGATGAGTTGAGCGCCGGTTTGCGAGCACTCGAGGGAAAGGTGTCTCTCGTGTTCTCCAACTCGACTTTAATGATGATCCAAAACAAGTCAACACTTATCCACAATTTGCACCGACTTATGGCCCATAATAGCTATGTTTTCATATCCTATGTCTTAACCCTTGATCTGAACGCAAATCTCAATAAATACGAGAGAATTGAATGCGAAAAGTGGATAAAAGTTCCCAAATATGACGAACAGGTGTCCATTTGGACCCAAGTGTTCACTAAACAGGGGTTCATTATAGAGAGGACTGAAATCAGAGACTATTCATACGGTTATGTGATAACAGACTCCACAAGTGAGTGGCTTATATTTATTAACACCGTAAATTCCGGGGTATAAACCGCACTGTAATTTTGGTATTTATATTCCAGGCGGTATATACTCTAGAATTTACAGTCATTTGCCATTAATTTAACATTTATATACTTTGAAAGAGAGAGAGAGAGAGAGAGAGAGAGAGAGAGAGAGAGTGCTCGCAAACCGGCGCTCAACTCATCCCACGGTTTACTCATGTCTTCGGCAATGAAAGCAATCGACGGTTTAGTATTGTTTTGTATCGAGATGTCAATCATTTTCTGG